GATCGAGAGAAAGTTCCGAAACCACGCGTTGTAGAGATTGTAGTGTGGTAGGAAGGAGCAGAATTCTTTTTGGTGAAAGATAAAAACTGGTCTGTTAGACTGACATGTCAGAGGTTGTCCTGAATATCACTTACCTTCCCACGCTGACCTTACAAATAAATCTCTAAAATAAACAACTGAATATGTGCGAACAGGATTCGTGTTTTTTTTTTTTTCATTTCTTGCCGTGTCGTTTCTATTTCACTTTTCGTTTTCCTTGTGAACGTACAGCGTACATTTCCCTGTCTTTGTGCACACCGACGCGGACGAACATAGAGACGCAACGTGGGGTCATGTGTCCGGTCGATGAAAAACCGAAAGAGGATGTCGGTGTCCGTTTACAATGTTGAAGCACCTTCAACATCGTTTGTGAATTTAAACTCCAATGACTTAAATATTGTCTGAGTCAGACGACATGAAATTTAAAAGATATCTACATAAAGGACGCTTACTATAGAAACTTAATCCAGTACATTTTAGCGAATGAATTCGATTCTAACTATGTGCTCAAACAATTAGGGTTCTGTGTTAGACAAGTCAAAACTCCTCTGTTTAAGCGCCACGACATGTTCCTGCCATTAAAATATTTTCGAACTGGCAAGAATCCTTCTTGTTATCGTCTTCTCTTATGTGCCATTGTATCATGTATCTTTGTAGCATTCTGTATGTGAAGTAGAGAATAAATTAATTTTAGGGATTAGCGAAAAAAAAAAAAAGAATCTCCTAACTAGTAGACAGTCCCATGTGTTGTTCGAGATGTGTTTTTGAAATACAATATATAAATATCTCATACTCTGGAGTTCAGAGAAGTCGCACACATGTGAAAATCCTCACTGAAGGAAATATAAACAAAAAAATTACTCCTTGCTGCTGGTGCCATATGTGATCCAGTACAATCTGTTGCATGTTCTTTACGAAAAAAAAAAAAAAGAAAAAAAAAGATGGATATCACCAAATAACTACCTTATAAGGTTATAAAGGATTAAGTGTCGGTGTCCCGATGGGCTAATCGGCTTTGGAATTATGTAACATATATGTTAAGTAGAGAAGAATATGTTAATTTTAGGGATTAGGGAAAGAAAAAACGTATCTTCTAACTAGTAGGTGGCCCTGTGTGTTGTTGAAGATGTGTTGTGTTTTTTTTTGTTTTTTTTTGTTTTTTTTTTGATAAAATATATAAATATCTGATACGCTGTAGTTTAGAAAATTCGCCAACGTGCAAAAATCCTCGCATGAGGAAAGATAGTAAACAAATAAATAATACAGGGTCAGCTAATGCTCGCACTTAGGCATCATCTTACAAGACCCAATTCGAGGATTAGCATCGGCCGTCATAAAAAAGAAAAAAAGATGGATATTGCGGGTTAGAGTGTCTTTTCATTCCACCTTGAATTAAAGAATTAGCAATTAGCGAGAGAGTGACGGATTACTTTTGAAATTTTTTGAAAAGTTTCTTATTGGTATATTTGAAACTTTTGAAGAATGTCTTATTGGTATTCTTTGGATTTCTGTTCGACAACAGTATCTTTCAGTTAAAACTTTAAATATTTTTCTCCACTTTTTCTAATTCATTGCAATTGTGATTTTCTCATGTTACTAACATTAAAAGGCAAAAGAAGGTCTTCTGTGCAGTGAAGTGGAAACGACAGTCTGTCTCAAGTTCATCCTCACATAGGAAGCATAATTAAGAATCATCATTAGCATGTTCTTCATTGATATGTGGAATCAGATCAGTGATTACTCCTTGTTGTTGGTAACCCAATACATGGGATAACATTAACAGTGTGTGTGAGTGAGTGAGTGAGTGAGAGAGAGAGAGAGAGAGAGAGAGAGAGAGAGAGAGAGAGTGAGTTTAAAGTCGAGGAGAATAAGGTAATTTTAGGGATTAGAGAAAGCAAAAAAAGGAATCTCCTAACTAGAAAGTGGCCCTGTTAGAGATATGGTGTATTTCTATAATACGTTACATAAATATTTAATGACCTGGAGTTCAGAACTTTTGCCAACAAGTAAAAATCCATTTTTAATTAAAAATCATTCAACATTTTAAGAAGAAAAAAACCAAGTTGATGTTAAAAATTGCCGGAAAACATTGTTGATTTATATAAAATGAAATATAGATGTATTGCAAATTGAATTGCAATTGTCACATGAGGCCGAAGGGGAAGTTTTTTTTTTTTTTAAGCGTTTCACCCCAAGCAAGGCGGGAAGCCACTAGAACGCAAGGGGTTAAGTGGGGGGGGGGGAGGCTGGTCTATATTAAGAACCTAAACCAAATTAAATCCGATTCATGACCCATTTATCCATTACAATTTACTCATTCACAACAAGAACTTATCCTCGCCATTCAATCTCTCATACACCACAATACCACATACTCAAAAGGATTCTACAAACACACGCATGACATACAAATTTAATGATATAACAAATGTCCTTAAGATGGAATGATCTATTATGACGTGTCTCTAATTCATATTAAGATATAATATATTTATTGTGGCCAGTCGTATTTTCTGTGTGGTAGCCAGGTCCTGCAAACATTTTTATTTTTTTATTTTGAAAGTTTGGTTGTACTTTATTTTCGTTATTGGGTTCATCCCCTCCCAACTCATTTCATGCCATATATTTTTGTAACAAAAAAAATTGTATATTATCAAATTTTCGTGTCATGAATATTTTTAGCAGGATCCCTGTGAATATGCGGTATCGTGGTATATGTTGGATCGAATAGTGATGGATAAGTTCTTGTGGTGATAGAGTAAATTGTAATGAATGAATGGGTCGTAAATCAGATTAGCTAGGTTTAGGATTGTCAGTGTTAACCAGCTCCACACCACTTCCCCTTCGGCTTTGTCCGAAAATTTTAATTATATTGCAATAAGTAATCATTGCATTTATTTTCAATTTTTCTAGTTGAATTGTTCACCTATATTGCATATGATCCATTATTGTACATAATTAGGTTACAATAAAAATTTGTATTTTATATGAATACTACCTTTTGAAAACTGAAATGTAGTAGAGTGGGGGGGGTGCAATCATAGATTCGTGGAGAGGGGCACGCGACCCTACCACCGGCCCTGAATGGGACAATGTTTATTAAGTATCATGATTATTTTTATTGGTATTAAATGGACCAAAACAGACTTCATACACGTGCTGATATTGCTTTCACCTGAAATTCTCTTCGATTAACTCTGGATGAGTGTAGAAAAAAAAAAAAAAAGAAAAAAGGGAAAGGAAAAAAAGAAGAAATTCAATACATCGGAATAGGCAAGGAATTATTTTTGATTGTTACATTATCTGCTATCTCTTTCGTCAATTATTCACATTATAATTCCTGTAAATGACGGGTCGCCGAAATGAAAATTTGTTCCCAGTGGGAAGGTAGCCAGTGGAAATTGCCATATTTATTGTTTCGCTTGACCGGCGACGAATAGTTTAGCCGGGTCATTCGAAAACCAGGTCTAAGGATGAGACCAGGTTGGGGATCATTGGTCATTTGTCGCTCCAATGCTTGTGTTCTTAAATCGTTACTTAATTGGACGAACCTGTTTGAGTCAGCTGATGTGGCAAGGATTGAGGGTGAAGTATAGAGAAATAGACAGCGGCAGGATGCGAGGAGAGTGTGGGAGAGGCAAAAGGTTTGGGATGAATTAAAAATTGATCGTCATTTCCTAGCGCGACGCAAACCTGATCACGTCTTGTTGGTCAGTGATGAAGTGTATCGATAACAGTCTGCCATGTTTGTGAAATGCGAAGAGTGGGAAAAGAGTAGACGGAAAAAGGAAGAGGTTGAAGGTAGAAGGAAGAGGAGAAGGGTTAAAAAAAGAAGAAGAAAATGGGGGAATAGTGGGATAATGAGAGGAGGGGAGTTTAGAAAGTATTAAAGAAAAGCGTAAAGATGAGGAGGCAAAAGTGGAAAGAAAAAGAGAAAGAAGTTGGAGAGAAAAGAAAAAAGAGGACAGAAGTAGGAGGGGGTGGAGAGAGTGGCAAAAGAGGATTAACGCGAATTAGGACGATGCCGAGTGAGAAAAAAATCGGATGAAAAAATAAAAATAAGTTATGCGAGAAGAGAAAAAACTGAGTTAATAAAACTGAGATTGAAGTGAAGAAAAACACGGGAAGAAGATCGGGAAATGGAAGGAATGAAGATTAAATTTGAAAAGAAAGAAAGAAAGAGAGATAGAGAGAGAGAGGGGGAGGGAGCGAGAGAGAGATAGAGAGAGAAAGAGAAAGAAACAATAAATAAACAATCAAAAAGATTTAAAAATTTAAAAGTTAAATGAAAAGGAAAGAAAGAGAGAAACAAAGACCGAAGAAAATTTATAAAAAAATAAATGGAAAGAAAGAGAAACTTAAGAAACATTTTAAAAGTAAAATGAAAAAGAAAGAAAGAAAGAAGTAATGGGAAAATAGAAATACAATAACCAAATAAATAAATGAAGAAACAAACAAAAAGAAAAGATACAAAAAGTTGAATGAGGGGAAAGAAAACAAAAGAAAAAAAAAAGATCAAAATATCAAGTAGGAAAAGACTAGAAAAAAATAAGGAAAAATAAGACAAAATAAGAAATTTATGTAAAATTGAAGAGAAAACAAAACAAAACAAAAAAAAAAAAAGACCAGACAAATGAAAAAATAAAAATGTAACAGTTCAATAACTGGACGAAGGCAATGGTAGAAAATGAATGAGAAAAACAAAAATGACAAACTTGAAAGCAATATAAGGATGGAAAAATAGCATGAAATATTTAAATATATAAACATTATAACAGTTTTTAAAATATCCAGGAAAAGGATGAAAAATAATACGGAAGAAAAGAAATGAGAGGAAAATAAAAATGTAAGCGTGAGGCAACAGGGAATAACTTAAAAAGAAAACTCTAGCGAGTTTAAAAGAATACTTTGAAAGAAAAAAAATGAAAAATTCATGTTAAAAGTTTGCCCTTTTCACACGCATGCGCATTGATTGTCGGCAGGAGGTGGTCTGTGATCGATAGCCAAATAATCACATCGCCTGATTGGAATATTTATCGATAGTCAAATCATTCAGAATTACTTCATTTGTGTTTCCTCCTGTCGTGACCAGTTATAGTCTTTGTTGGTAGGTAATGAAAATATATAATGGTAGGTGTAATATATATATATATATATATATATATATATATATTCAGTTGTATGGATATGAGTTTGTAACCCTGGGTTTCACGCTTTTGTGATATCCATGCAACTGAATATGTTAGCTCTATCACTGATATTGAGCATTTTCCAATAAGTAACGCGCATATATAATATATATAGAAATTATATATATATATATACACACACACACACACACACACACATATATATATATATATACATACACACACACATATATATATATATATATATATATATATATATATATATATATATATATATATATATATAAATAAATGACAATAATAACAAAAATCAGAATGACGTTATTTTTAGTTAACAATATGAAAATAGCGTTCTCTACATTCCTCCAGTTGTTAAGGACATTCTGTTTTTTGTTATTATTAGTTACGCTCTTCAATTAAATTCATTTTGTTTTTTCCTTTGAGAAAGTCCACATTGGAAGAAATGCGTCAGCAATAACTACAGTTTTCTTATTGTAATTTACATTTATGAATATTGTCTTTTCTACAGGTTAACTCTGAGAAATTTTCATATATATATATATATATATATATATATATATATATATATATATATATATATATATATATATATATATTCCAAGGGTGTGTAATAAATAAATTGTAGCTTACCGTTGACACACGCACATCTATCTATCTATCTATCTATCTATCTATCTATCTATCTATCTATCTATCTATCTCAGCCTGTTCACATGTATCATCTATCTCAGTCTGTTTATATCTATCTATCTATCTATCTATCTATCTATCTATCTATCTATCTATCTATCTATCAGTCTGTTCTATCTCAGTCTGTCCTATCTATCTATCTATCTATGGCACTCTATTTATATTTATCTCCGTCTATTTAGAGTCTTAATTTAATCTATGCGGATCTATCACATTTATTGTTTAAGTTTATATCTTTGAGTGTGCGTTTTGTGCGTGTCCTAGTGTCTATATACATCTGTGCGCATAAATCGTAATACCATAGGATTTGCGTCAATCATCCTCACATATATTTCATAAATATTTTCCCTCTCTTGCTTCTAAGCTGAACTTACTCTGGCCTGCTTTCTTAAAACTACGCCTAAAGTCTTCCTCGCAATGTCAATATTTATCACTGCCAACACTACCCATCTATAATAACCTGGTTCTCCACAGTGATAAATCCATCCATATCACAGTCCTGAGGAGAAAAAAAATCATTTGTATTCACACTTATATTCACTTCGGTTTCATAATTCATAGCTTCATCAATATTCTGGTTACTTACCTGTACATCATTCTCACCTTCAGCGTCACGGGCGGTTATTTTTCGTTTAATCGCTCCAAGTTCCACTAATGTCGTCTATCCGTTTTTTTTTTATTGCCATGGCTTGATCATAAGTTACCCACTCAGTAGTATTGAATAGTGCTCACACTTTCCATTCATTGAAAACTCTCCGCTGATAATCCCTTATTAGCAAACATCTCTCATCAATCTATATTTCTGAGATGAGGATTGTAACTATTTACACTATTTACATTGTTTGTACTGTTGTCCTCATCTTTATTGTCATATTCCCCACGTTTCGGCCGATGTACGCTCCGGCCTTCTTCGGGTGATACTTGGACTTTCGAACCGACCTCTTTATTTAGTCCACAGGGGTAAACAACAGGGATCAATTAATCGACATTTTTATCCACTGGGCCATGTGGATAAAAGCGTTGGTTGTTTGACCCAGAAGTGATTTGACCCAAATAGATGTGAGTTCAATCCCTGGTCACAATATAGAGAGAGTTGAGTCATTAAGGGGAATTAATTAAATTGCTGACATATCCAAAGGCATGGCACGTGGAATTAGAACAGTCTTTAAATAAAGGGTTCGGTTCGAAATTCCAACACTTATCACTTGAAGAAGGATGGAACGTCCACGGCCGAATCGTCGTGAATATGGCAATAAAGATGAGGACACCAGTCCGAACAATGTAAATTGTGTAAAAATATCTCTCACCAATTGGATTACTTTGAGAATTAACAGGCTTACTGAATCTTTGCCTCTTCTAATGGCTGACAGGAGTCGGTTTATGACTGGATCCATCCCACTGCACCGTAAAACCTGCCGGGCGGGACATTATTATCAGCGACCTTTCAACTTCGAGTTGGAGTTCCAAGTGCACCCATTACTACAGGAATTACTTTAGCAGATATGTTCCATAGCATTTTCAACTCCCTCGCTAGATCCTAGCATTTTTCAGTTTCTTTGACGTCCACATGAAAATTAATGTTTTTCATGCACTTTCCCCATCGAAGGTTCTGTTATTGGCGTTGAAAATCGAGTGAAAGCAAATCTCCGTAGATCTCATGCGTCATCCTCTTGTCGAATCCATTATTTCTTTCACTTTGTTCGTTTACTTTTGTAGTATGGAGTAGGCTCACCTCTGTTGACGTCAGTATAGACATTGCACTCAATGTCACAACAGACTATCATTGAAGTTACAGATGACCCCAGGTGAACTCCTCGCTGTCGAAAATGGCTACAAAACTAAAACATTGAGCTAAAACCTCGAGTCATGTTCTTAAATAGCCTCGTTAGATCGAGACTTTCAGATGGAAGTCATGCGTGGCATTCAGAAATATCTTAACTGTCAGCTTTTTCAGATCAATGATTAAAAATGGCTTCGAACAAATGAAAATAGTAGGGCCATTCTTCTTTGAACCTTGTAGATTGGCGTTATACAATCACAATGAACAGTGCCGAATAACTCTAATGAAAAATAAGGGAATATGCAGACTACCTGATGATTGATTTCAAAATAATGATATAATGAAGATGTCTTGGAATCTCCGATGATAAGTTCGTCGTCATAAATCCCATTAATTAATCTAACGATCCCAAGACATTCTCCTTCCTTCTTTTAGTTGAACTGATGACGCCAATGAGAACATCAGATTTTCTCAGGCGAAACGGGTCTTTCATTAAAAAGTTTACACTTTGTCCTATCATCTTTTGTTTTGGACACTATTATACATCCTACAAACACACACACACGCGCGCGCGCACACACATACACTCACATACATACATACATATATATATATATATATAATACGTTTTATATATGTAGGTTAACATTTTCATATTAATAGACTATTTTAAATACTTTTGACATAACTGGTTAGATTAGAATATATATATATATATATATATATATATATATATATACATTTATTAATATATATATATATATATATATATATATATATATATATATATATAATAAATGTACACATTTTCCGTCACCAGTAGCACGACTCGGAGTTTCATCCACAGTGCAATCTTCAGGTGCTGAGTATAAAAAAAACTTCGTGTCGTGTTATCGGTGATCAAAAAATATGTATATTTATTATATATATATATATAGTATATATATATATATATATATATATATATATATATATATATATATATATATGTATATATAAGCAAGTGTAAATGGATATAAATCCGACAGAATGTAGAAATTTTGAAAAACAAACAAAAATCCATAAATGTAGTTAAAATGAAAGAATTGTCGACGTCAGACGTTTTCGTCATATTGAACTGAATTTGTATTTTAATGAATTTTGTCTTGAAAATGGTTTATTAAAACCGAAACGTCTGACGTCGTCAATTCTTTCATTTTAACTACATTTATGGATTTTTGTTTGTTTTTCAAAATTTCTACATATATATATATATATGTGTGTGTGTGTGTGTGTGTGTGTGTGTGTGTGTGTATGTATGTGTGTGTGTGTGTGAGAGAGAGAGGGAAGGGAGTGAGAGGACGGTGGAGTAGTGGATAGCGGTTCGGATTGAGGAATCGGAAAATCGAATTCGAATTCCAGTCAAATCCATTACATTCACTTACTTGCTAATACCCTCGGGAAAGGTATTAATCCCCTTCTGCATGGGTAAATAGCAGGACAGACTGGGTTTTATAGTCTTGGATGGCAACCAGTCTAGGAAAAGGACAACTCAAAAAGTGTGATTGGTTCTGCACAAAACAATATATATATATATATATATATATATATATATATATATATATAGTTAAACCGAGAACCAGACAACCTACCACGGTTTCACCTTAGCGGATCGTCAGGGAAGGCTGGCTTTTTTATACCTTTTTTCCCTTTGATATTGGTTTGATTATTTGCAAATCAAGACACCGAAGGTTTTCGAACGAGTATAGTTTCTTATACTTATAAGACTACTACTACTAATAATAATAATGATAATAATAATTACATATATATATATATATATATATATATATATATATATATATATATATATATATATATATATATATATATATATACTGTATTAGGACAGCGGATCATTATTCAAACATATATTGTTAAATATAACAGACAATGAAGGTCTATTATGTTTGATCATGAGCCCTCTAATATATATATATATATATATATATATATATATATATATATATATATATATGTATGTATTGTATATATGTATGTATGTATATGTATGTATAATACGTTTCATATATGTAGATTAACCTTTTTCATATTAATGGACTATATTTGTATTTTATAATATAATTTCTTTTTTTCAGAACCTGGTCGATTAGAATTTAGCAAACCAAGTTACGTAGTGAAAGAAAGCCTACCAAATGCCCGCCTAACTGTAAATCGAATCAATGGAGCAGATGGCAAAATTTCGGTAACATGGGTGACCAACCCGATGACTGCCCGGGACGGAGTTGACTATATTGGCGGTTCTGGTTCGCTGACCTTTGCCCACGGCGAGACAAGCAAAGACATTGATATCCAGCTATTAGGAAAGGTAAGTTACTAAGACTCTCTCATTACTTATACGGTTCACTTCTCTTTCGCTGTTGTTTTGACTGAGGCAAATCAAAAGGCAAATGTGTGTGTGTGTCTTTTTGTTTGGATTAGCAGTCTTTTAATCGACTGAGAGAAACTCTGTTCTACCTTCCATCAGCATGGCTGATGCTAACATCTAGAAGAGTTACTCATTGTGCCTTCTCGAACTAACGTTTTCCACCAACATGAAGTGAAAAGAGTATATTGAATCAATTGTTAAGTCCGCAGATAGGTAAGTTGAACAGTTATTCTCGCCAGAATCTATCTTACATATTTATAAGTCTATCATGTATCCCTGTTTTGAACATTGCTACCACATGTGGTTTAGTGCTCCTGCTATATATTTAGAGATTCTTGATGAAATCCAAAGAAGAATCTGCAATGTTATTGATCCCCACCTTTGTATCTATATAACTGAGACTCAAAGTAAAGAAAGATAGTGTGTGACGAAAAAGAGAATAGGATTAAAAGGAGTAAAATCGATTGAAGAAAAGTCAGAGAGCGTGATTGAAATTTTAAAACAGAGAAGAATATAAAGATAGGTAGAGGGAGGGAGAGAGAAATTGATGTTTTAAGAAAGAGAATAATAAAAGACAGACACATTGACCTTTTAAAAAGAACAGAAAAGAGAGTGACGATTTGAAAAAGAGAAGAACGAAAAGATATATATATATAGAGAGAGAGACAGAGATTTTATTTTTTTAAAAAAAAGAAGAAAAAATAGGAAGAGATTGTAATTTTTACAAAGAGGAGAACAAAAAGAAAGAAAGAAAGAAAGAAAGAAAGAAAGAAAGAAAGAACGAACAACAACAAAACCAACAGCAAGAAAATAATGAAGCGAAAGTTTTATAAAGTTTTTCGCTGACATGAATTGGAAAGATTATATTGAATCAATTGCTAAGTCTGTTGTGGGAAAAGTTGGTTTATTTTGTTGTGCTAGACAATTTTTCTCAATAGGATCTATCTTACATATTTATAAGTCTACCATTCATCCCAGTTTTGAACATTGCTACCAAGTGTAGTCTAGTGCTTCTGCTATATATTTAGAGATTCTTGATAAACTAGAAAGAAGAATCTGCAATGCTATTGGTCCTGATCTGGCATCACGATTGATGTAATTTTCTTACCGTCTAACGTAGCTTCCCTGTGCCTTTTTTATAAATACTTTCATGGTGATTGTTCTGATAAACTTTCCTCGATGGTACCAAGACTTTATGAATTTAAGCGCAGTAATAGATTAGCGGCAAATTATAATCATTTTAAACTTAAATTGGAAATGGCTAGATCTAACCCCGTAAGATCTACGCAAACAGTTTCTTCTATCGCACTTCTCGCTTGTGGAACTCTCTCTCGGCTCCTTGCTTCCCAGTCAATTATCTTCAAAAATTTAAATGCAAGATCATTCGTTATCTTCTGACTTCTAAATTCTTGTCCTTTTATTGGCCTTTCTTTTTAATAGAATATTTTTCTCATATTCTCTTACTCTATAACGCCTTGCGTCTTAGTGGCTTTATTGCCTTGCTTGGGGAGAAATGATTTTTTAAACTATAAGATTGAACAGTACTTGGGAACAGTACTGTTCACTATCCGTAATTTCGTAAGGTTTATTCTAACCCAACCTCAGGCTGAAGAGATGGATATTTCCTTTGTATCCACATAGTATTTAAACAATGTTTTATATTTATTCTCTACACTAGGTATGAAAGAGAGAGTTGAAATTTCTAGGACATAAGGAGGAAAGAAGGCCTAGAGAATTTAACACTCACAGAATATGATGAAGACAAGGTTCTAAGGAAAATAGGAACAAAGAAGCTTATCCTTACAACCAGAAAGAGATAGATGAAATTTATGGATACATAAAGAAGAAAGAATGCCTAGAGAATTTGACACTCACAGGTCATACTAAAGGGAAAAGACTCAAAGAAAAACAGAAAGTAACCTACTTAATAAGTTTGTGTGAATCGGTGACAAAACAGAGACAAGGAATGATACAAAAATTATTTAGAGCAAAAAAGAATGCTGTGGAGAGCCATGATCGCCCGTGTTTTGAAAGGAGATTATTTAAAAAAGAAGACGTGTGTATCTAACCAAACGTAAGATGTTTTGAAAGTAAGAATCGCGATATGATTGGCCGAAATGTAGCCAATAGAAACGCCCGATAGTTAACTAAAAAGCACCGATTCATTTTTGTCTTAATATATGCAATGTAGTAGACCTACCAAATTCCTATCATGTTAGAGATATCTTAGAAGTGTATTTATTGGTTGTGCGTGCATACCATCTAAAGATTTTGCTAAAGTGATAATTTAACTTTATTTTGGTGGAAAAAATGGCCGAATATATTTATAACTCCTTCGTCTTCATTTTTTAATTTTGACAAAAGTGCACGGTAGGCTAAGCCGTCTAGAATTAAAGCATTTGGTGGCAATTCAGTAGGTATAAGCACGTGGCGTAAACGGTTTTCAAAGGTTAAACAGATCAAGTTAAAAGAAAAATTTGAGAAGACGTAAAAGTGCAAAATAATCAACAGGTGGACAAAGGGTTAAATTAAAAACTTAAACAATCATCTCGTTTCGACGACGCAGTCAAAGAAGATAGACTTTTTTTCTGGGCAAGGAATCCGGTCGGTGGTTTCGTCACATAACAACATCCGTCGTTGTACTGATAATGAAGCATGCGCAGTAAATAATCATGAAAGTTTGATTGGGACGTTCTTTTCCATGTGGCGTATTCTCTACGTATACCACTTTCGGGCTATGATAGTTTCGCCTGTCGCCCGGTTCACACGCCTTTTTAAACAGAGGGAGGGGTTTATCCCTTGTTTCCTGTTTAGGATAGGATTTCTGGTTCCTTCTAAAGTCGACTTCAACTCTATATTTCTATCTTTGCTCTCAAATTTTATTTACTTTTTTTTTTCTCTCAACAGGAGTAAATAGGTCTTTTGAACAAGAGTCGAGATTTATCCTTTGTTTCCTGTCCAGGATTTGGTTTCCGGTTCCTTCTAAAGTCGACTTCAACTCTATACTTCTATTATTTCCGCTTTAGCTCTCAGATTTTATTTACAATAATTTTTCTCAATAAGAGTAAATAGGTCTTTTGAACAAGAGTAGAGGTTTATCCTTTGTTTCCTTTTTAGGATTTGCTCTCCGGTTCCTTCTAGGGTCTCCTCATTCTCTTTCACTTCTAGTAGCTACTTGTGTCTTAGTAGCATTATTGCATTGCTTGATGTGAATTGATTAAAAAATGTTTCGTTTGTAAGCATACAACGGGTGTGCCTCTGTCAGTCTATCACCAACCGGACAAATCAATTCCCATGTTGATTTTCACTTCTTGTTTGCACTTGTTTGTATGATTTTTCAGCACTTACGTGCCCAGGGGCTAAAGAGACAACTGCCAAGGAATCCTATATGTTTTTATCAACTTTTAATTCACTAGGTCAATAAACATACTACAAACTGGAAGAGTGATTATGGACATGACATATTAGAATTATATTGTCAAGGTGATATGAATTGTGACGAAGAGCGGATATTTTTTTTTTATAATTAAAAAAAAAAGTATATATATTCCGTTCTTATGGCAACAAGACGCTTACTTACATCATACCTCGTGTTACCGTGACAACGGATTTTTTTCATTATTCCTCAGTAAAACCAGGTTTCTAACGACAGGAAAGTCGTTATTTCTACGGAGAGAGATGCAAAGAAACAGAAAAGGTCGAACTGCTCATTATATATGTTGAAGCGCCAAAAATCATGGAATAGATGCCAAGTATCTTATGGACACCCTCAGTCCCTGGCATTGATTCTACAAATGTTTGAAGAACTACGGAGAAATGTTAACCTATGTCGTTTCGATAGCTGTCCACAGCTCACTGATATTTATGTGTGTAGGATCTTGCGTGCGAATAGATGATGATGATGAGACCTCTCCACCAATTCACATAAATGCGCGTTTGGACTTATATCGGACACACATGGTGGACACATTCGTTGTCAAAATCTCTAAAATCCTCCTCAAGCCAATCCTGGATAACTTAGGTATCTAGCCACCCCCCGCGAGGGTTGCATGTGGCACAAGGCCGAGTTTTTACGTGGGTTTCCCGAGCCCGTAGGCTCGGCCAAAAAATGCCCGTATAACCCGTATAAACGAGATCGGGTTGGTCAACCTCCCCGAACGAGACTCTGCCCTTCGGGGTTCCTTTCTGCTCAGAGGCAGAAAGTTCGACCGTCAAGTCGAGAAGCTCGGCTTGATTCTTATTTTCTAAGCATAGCTTAGATGTGGCACAAGGCCGAATTTAGGGGGCGCCCAGTGAGAATCGAACTCACTACTCAACCGTAATAGTTCTAGCGAGACAAGCTTGCTAACCATTACACCACCTGGAGGTGCCTCCTGGATAACTTAGGTTCGAAGAAACTGTCGTTGGAGACCATGATTTGGTGTAAATTATCACGAAGCTGTGTAACGTAACGGTAACCGGTCAATGCATTGTTTCGGCAGAGCAGCGGATTTAACCTATACCAAGTGACCACGCCCTAAACCATTATAAAACAATCACGAAGCTGTTTGGTGACTTGACAACTAAGGTCCGTGGGTTAGTAGTGCCTGCCTCATACTCAAATCTTACCATAATCCCGACACAACTGTAACCATGCCACACTTACCAACCAAACTACAAGTAGCAACGTACACGAACCAAGCTGAAATGTTGTGTCCTGTATCATGATGTTAACAAGAGTATCCTAGCGGATCTTCTGTGCCTATATTCCCTGGAAGCGAAACTGACTTGCTAGATATGCGTTTGGTGATTCCTGTATTAAATGTAGATTTAATTGGATCCAGTATCGCTTGCTTATTACGGCAGGTAATTCTAACCTCTGAGCACGATCATTAAGGACCTGTGGTCGGCCACTGCGGTTTCCACAGTAACCGATAATGCCTTCTATCAGGTATCCCCCA